GGCGAGCGGTTCAGGACATTTGTTTATATGTGTATATTATGTTTTGGCTACGCTACATTTCCGCTACAGTTTTCAGTACTTTAAACCAGCTTTTGACCCGACGTTAGTCGGATAATATATTAGATAACCGTTTTTATTATCAGATTAAAATTAACGGTTTTCAAAATAAAGTCAGATTTTACGGTAACACTCCGAACTAGATTTCGCAAAAAGAAATATTTTATTTATTTTATTTAGAAAATTTGCGAAAAACGCACTCTGAATTTCAGTAAATAGCGGGGTGTTACACAGGTGAGCCTGTTTTGCCAGGGGTTTAGGTTTGTGAGAAGGAAGGGAGGGGATCCAGGGGTTATTCCAGATATTTGTGCTTTCTCTATTGTTGATTCTGAAAATCACATTTTGGGTGAAGAAGTTGGTGGTTTTTCTCCAGCTGGCCCAGTGCCAAGAGGCATTGGTCTTTTGCTTGGAAGAGAATATAGAGGTGTTAGGGAAGTATTTAGCTTTGAGTACTCTGATGACCAGAAGCTCAGGGTTGTTATACAGTCTCCCAATCTGCTTGGTTATAAGGGCTTGGTTCATGAGGTGAATATCATGGAACCCTAGTCCACCTTTCTCTTTTGGGAGAGTAATGAGTGACCATGCTTTCCAGTGGATCCCTGATGAGCCTTCCTTTTTGTTCCTCCACCAGAAGTCTGCAAAATGTTTGGCAAGCTTGGTATAGGTGGTCTTGGGGAGGATGAAACAGGACATTGCATAGAGAGGAAGGGCTTCCAGCACAGCCTTAAGGAGGACCTCATTACCTGCAAGAGTTAGAAAGGTGTTTTGCCAACTAGATAACCTTTTTAGAACAACATCTTCTATGTATGAAAAAGTTTCCAGTTTAGACTTCCCAATACCTAGAGGGAGGCCTAGGTATCTAGAAGAGTTTTGGGGTTGAATTCCCATAAGGATGTTACAGATTTGGCTTTTGACATGGGGGGAGTGTTTCTTCTGAAGTATATAGATGAATTTTGGAGGTTGCACACTGTCTTGTGATGGCATTGTACTGGCTCAGGATTCTGAGGATTAGGTGAGCTTGTGTGGTGTCAGCTTTTGAAAAAAGCAGTGTGTCATCAGCAAACATGAGATGGATGAGTTTAGGGTTGTTTTTGCAAATCTGAATGCCTGATAAATGGCCTGATGAAGAGAGGTTGTTAATGATGGTTGAGAGCACTTGAGATATCAACAAGAATATGTAAGAAGATAAGGGATCTCCTTGTCTTATCCCTCTGGTAGGTTGAATGTAACCACAGACTGAGCCATTCACATTAAATAAAAAAGAAGCTGAGTTTAAACAAGCCAAGATCCATTTGATAAATGAGCTATGAAACCCAAGCTTAGTCATGATGTTTCTAATACAGGACTATTCGACTATGTCAAAGGCTTTGGACATGTCCAATTTGATAGCCATGTAACAGGAGTTTCCTGTTCTGTGATTATTCAGAAAGTGGAGGACTTCATGAGCTAGGATAACATTGTCTTGGATCTGTCTATTAGAAATGAAAGCAGATTGGGTGTCACTGATACAGAGATGAAGAATAGGTTTAATTATGTTAGAGAGGATTTTGAAGATTACCATATAAGTAACACTGCATAGACTAATTGGTCTTAACTGTGAAAAATTTTTCAGGTTTTTGAACTTTAGGAATTAAAGTGATGAGGGTGTGGTTTATACTTTTCAGCATTTTCCCAGATTGAAAGAAACTGTAAATCAAAGCACAGAGATCAGATTTGATTAATTCCCAGAAGTGAGAAAAGAATGCTGAGGTCATACCGTCCTGACCTGGTGCTTTGTGGGGGGAGATGGAGAAGAGAGCAGTATTAATTTAAGCTTCTTCAATCATAGTAGTGAGTTTAGTGTTCATAGAGTCTGTGATCACTTGGTGGATTTCATCTAGGATGGGGTCATTGGAGGAGGGTCCTTGAGTAGAAAAAAGATCTTTGTAGAAGTTCTCAATGCATTGGGATATATCATCCAAGGATTCACTCACTGAGGCATCATCACTGATGAGTCTTGTGATTTTATTTCTCTTCCTCCTCTGAGTGGTGTGTGCATGGAAGAACTTAGAGTTCTTATCACCATGTTTGAGCCATGAAATTCTGGACTTCTGGTGCCAGTATTGTTCCTCTGATTTGTAGACTTCATTTAGCTCTTTTTGAATTAAGTCCCACTTTTGACAATCTCTAAGACCTCCTTCCCATCTGAGCTCAGCCAATTTTCTTTGTAGCTTTTCAATCTTCTTCTCATTATCAGACTTGAAGTTGCAGCTCCTTTGAGCAGTTGTAGTCTTACACACTTATTTTTTTTCCTGGAAACAGAACATTGGGGTACCAGATTGGAAGCAGTTCCAAGCTAGTGTGACCACATCCGTTATGCCCTCTCTCTTCAGCCTTCTACTGTCAAAGATAAATCTCTTCTTGGTTTTCTTGACTTCAGGAGATGTGTTCATGCATAGTTGGCTATGGTCAGAGGACCTTTTGAACTCATTTTGAACTATGGTGTTGGGGTACAGTGTGAGCCATCCCAGGGAGCAGAAGACTTTGTCTAGTTGTTCCTCCACATACCCTTCCCCATGTCTATTGTTCCCCCTGGTAAATCTATGCCCTGTCAGCTCAATATCTTGCATCCCCATCAGAGAGATGAACCCATTAAAAGCACTGAATGAGGAGAGAGGTCTAGAATTTCCTCCTTTCTTGTCTTATGGGCAGGTGATCTCATTCCAGTATCCTCCTATGAACCAATAGTCTCCCCATTTTTGTTGGGCTTGTAAAAGGTATTGCCACTGCTCCCTCCTAGTTATATGATTAGTGTTGGCATAAATGAAGGAGCCCCAACAGGTTTGATTAATAACTTCATCCCAGAATTCCACCTGGATGCAGAATTCTGATTTTAGGATTTGGAAAATGTGGATGTCTGGATCCCACAGAATTCCACCTGGATGCAGAATTCTGATTTTAGGATTTGGAAAATGTGGATGTCTGGATCTCAGATAAGCAGCAAGCCTCCACTGATTCCTATAGGATCCACTGCAGTCCAATTGTTGCCTACACCAAGTTTCTTGCAAAATGTATTTACAAATTTTTCTTTTTTCTAGAGTCAGCAGAGATTTTCTAGAGATTCTTATTCTTAATGAAATCACACATGTTGTGTGCGACACGTAGTGCTTCCCACGAGTGGAGAGCCGCTTATTTTTCAAGAAGATATGACCTTGTTTGGTAATCAACTGTTAGCTATTAACTGTTAGCAGGTTATGATAGCTGTTTTGACCAGCAGACTGTGTTAGCTGTTATTACAAGCAGTTAGTTTTGGCGGTTCCGCAAAATGTTGTTTGGTAAACTTAGCGGATTGATTTTGAAAAACATTATGTGGCATTATTAATTTGATAAAATAATTTATATAAATGATTACAAAAAAAATAAAATAAAATAAAATAAAATTAATATAATGTAGCGCCCCATTTGATCTGGATTATTTTGAGATTATTTTTATTTAATTTATTTTCCTAATATAATTTATCTCGTGCTCGATTATTATTCGATTGCATGCTCGTAATTGCCTAATTGTTGTAGTAATTAAATTTTTATAATCGAGCTGAGTTATATATATTAATTATTGATCGACCGAGTACTCGAGCCTAGTAGGGTTATTATATAGATTTAATCAAACGCATGCCAAGGCACCGGGCCTCAACCCGTGCCCGCGTAGCCAGCCCGGCCCTTGCCCAATTTTTCCCTTTCATGCACGGCCCTTGTTTGGAATTTTGAAATTGAAGTCGTGACATCTCATCCCATAAAATCAGCTTTTATTCCCTCTTGATGATCTTGACCAAGTTTTATGGGGGGAGGTTACAAATTGATGGCATTAAAAAAGGAGACCCTCCCTCTCTCCCTTTATATCTCTCTCTCTCTCTCTCTCTATCCCTCTTCTACACTTAAAATTTCAGAACTCTCATCCTCTCCTCTTTCACTTATTCCGCCGGAAAAATTACCGAGCTCGCCGCGCATCCCGCTACCGCACGCCCTGCCACCGAGCCCCACGCACGACGCCGAAATACCCCGCAACTGAGTTGCGCCCCGACCATCGTCCGAGCCTCCATCCTCGACCTGTTGTTCGACGTCCATCAACGAGTCATCGGATGACACCGTTTTCGACGTGCGAGCCGCCTTCGAACGTCGAGCACACGAGGATGAGTTCCCCGCTCTTAGGACCGAAACACGCCCGTGAACGCACCGAGCCGTCCTCCTTCCCTTGGAGTTTGGTAAATATTGCTAACTCCAATTATATTATGTAATTATATGTATATTTGCTGATTATATGTTATTACATTATTTATTTGAATTATTATGATGATATAAGGTATTTTATGTATTGTGATATATTAGATCTTAGGGTTTAAATATGAAACCCTCAATATTTTATTTAATACCGTGGTTAGCTCTTGAATTATTGGACATTTTTGTGTCCTGGTCACAATGGTTTTGATCTTGTGCAATTTGGAGTTATATTTTTCAAGTTATGAATTTTTTAATTATATGTGTCTGATGAATCTTGTTAAATGCGTGATAAATTGTATTGTTGTCCAAAAATTATGAAATTTGGATATGTTATTCGTCAGATATGTATTGACCTTGTTTAAAATTTTCATTATTTGTGGAGTTAAAATGCTAGGGTATTTTATTATTTGTTCATTTTTGCAGAATCTTAGAAAAATAATATAAAATTGATTTCTTGATAGAAATGCATGAAACTTGGCTTATATACTTATTTGAAAGTATATTTGATGTGGTAAAAATCTAAGAAATTATTGGATTCAATAGATTATGTTCTTGTTAGAATTAATTTTTCTGCTGAAACTTGTAACAATTTTCATAATTTACATGTTCAATGTTTATAGCTGAAATTTTTATACGTTGTTACCAGCATGTTATAGTTACTTGAGTAAAAATATTAAGTCCTGAATCATTTATTAGGTCAGTCACTAAATTCGTACTTGTTTTTGCTGCAAACTTGTTTTAATTTTATAAAATCACATGCTTAAGTGACAGGGCTGAAACTTGGTGTTTTTGCTATGCTCATTACGTTATATTATGTGTCCAAATTTAAGATCAAAACTCATTCGTTTGGCGGTCATCTTGAAAATGTGCCTTACTTGTCTTATTTTGCAATAACTAGCTTATTATGTTTAAGTTTGAATTTTGGGTGATCTTTCGTAAATGTTGTTCCATGTTGATGTTTGATATGTACTTGTCATTTTGGAGTCGAACCCTTGGGTGGATTTTGAAGTAGCCCGATTATTACCGTTTGTCCCATTTTTGTTGCATTTTTTGTGCTTATTTTGCTTTTATTTTTCCCCCGTTTTAGGTCATTCATTTTTGTTTTTAGTCCGTTTTGTGTTTTATTATGTGTTTTCTACATTTTTGAGTCTTTAGATGTTTTCCGTTTGTTTTTTCAGTTTTCTTTTGTGTCTTGCCGTTTTTGGTGTGTAGGTCCGAAGCTTCGAGTAAATTTTCTCTTCAGGAAAAGTTGGTTTCGAGAGCATAATTGGATAGAGAGGTTCGTTAGCAACGTGTAGTAAAAAACGAAACTCAAATCCGAGTTCAGACGAGCTTAAACGAGGCGAAAACACAAAATGGCGCAGTGCAGCTCAGAATCTCGCGATTCGCAGGCATAAAGTCGCGACTCGCAGTCTCGCGAGTGCAAAGTCGTGACTCGCGACTTTAACAGAGCCTCCAGCAGCCCAGCAACCCATCCAACTCGCGACTCGCGAGTAAACTCGCGAGTCGCGACCATGTCGACCGTGTTTTTATTTTCCTTCGTTTTTACTCGTTTTAGCTCCATTTTTCGAGCACAATATATAAAAATGACCCTCCAGACCTAAGAGAACCCCCAATATCGTTCCTTTCAATTTTTCTCTCCAAAAACTCAATATTCTTAGGATAATTTTCTATGCTTTTCTTTTATTTTTTGTCTCATGCTTGGATTGTTGGACACAGAGATATGTGGATTGAAATCTTGCAAGTCTTAATCTGATTGTAAGTTTTTCAATTCTATTCTATTATTATTGATTGGTTTTTGTTTTCAATTCTGGTTAACATGAAATTGAATCTAAGTATGAGATAATTCATTCACCTAGGGTTAGGGATTTTGATTCTTGTTTTGAATTGTGGGGAATGTGTTTTGTTCAATCTATGCGAGTTGTGTGAATTATAGGGTTAGTTTATTGATCACCATTATAACCTAGTTAATCGATGTTTAGAACCGAGAGAGGAGACGTCGGTCGATTTAGGCTCGTATAGAGTAGACATGTTCGGAAACGTATTGTCTATGTGTTGTGTGATTTGCATGATTTACCGTTTATGTTTGTGCTCTTGTTACGAAGTGTTATTGAGCACAGCCCTCTAGATGTGTGGCTTGTTAAATCTCGTAACCGAACAAATAATCGTTCAACATAGTATGAGACATGATAAGATTTCCCGACCCCTAGAACTTCTTCCTTTTCTCTAGAGATTTAATTGTTCTTTCTTTAAACTGTTTTTCTAGTTCTAGCTTGTTTAGTCAATTCCCCAAATCAATCGTGATTAGAATGTTTAAAACTTATTTTCTTTTCGTGTGTGATCAATACCAACACTAAATTCCGAACCGTCTTCCTCGAGAGATCGACCCGGGGAACGAATCTTTCGATTCGGTACTCGGTAAAAATAAAAAAAATTGTGACAACAAATTTGGTGTCGTTGCCGGGGAAGGCAAGTAGGAAATTTTGGTTTTGGTGTTGATTTTATTTTTTGTGTTTCTCTTTAGTTTGTAATTATCGTGTTTGCGTTCTTTCTTTTGTGCATCTTTGTTTTTCTCTTTGTTTTTGTTTTCTTTTCTCTCTCTTTTCGTGGCTATGTGTGGTTGTTCTGTTTTGGTGTGCAGGAATTATGAACTTTAACCGTGATTTTCCCTATTCGCAAACCCAATCTTGGGTTAACGAGCCGAGCTATCACGCCAGGTACCATGACCAATCATACTCATACTCTTCCAAGCATTACTGGGATCCCTACCCAGTCGAGCAGTCTTACGAGTCCCATGTATTTAACGAGAAGCTCGACCAGATTCTTACTTTTATAGCAGCTCGAGAAGAAGAGGCCATATTTAATGAGAAACTTGATATAATCCTCGACCGGATGATAACCCAAGCAAGACAAAAATCGGAGATTGAGCTCAGATGTGCCCGATTAAGCGAGCTATTGGAGAGTCTAGCAAGACGCATCGACTCTATCGAGTCACGAGCCAATGAGCCCATGGTTGTGGACCCACATCCGGCGCCCATACCATTTGATGAGCTTGAGTATGACTCTTCGGATACAATGCCAAACTTGATCTCATCCTAGATCGTATGATGGCCCAAGAAAACTGAGAAAGGGAGATGGAGCTCGGGTGTGCTCGACTGAGCGCTCAAATGGAAAATCTAACAGCACATCTCGACTCTTTCGAGTTGAAAGTCGATGACTACCATCTTATGGTAGGTGCCCAAACATGCATTCCGATGCACATGTGTGAGACCGAGGAGGAAGATGATGCAATCCAGCGAGACGATGATATTTTGAAGGAGGGGATTCATGGACTTGACCAAAAATTCCACGTCACTATTTCTCGAGTCCCTCCTCCGACCACCGAATTGGAGCATTCACCTTCGGAGCCATTACACTGTGCTACTAAGTGGGCCGGATTTAGCTCGACTTGTTCCACGGATGTGCTCATAATCCTTGAGGATGACAACAGAGCTCGGGTGGGAAAAACTCTACGTCGGTTACTGGGGATTTTTCGTGCCCGAACCCACTCCATCCAGAACATGGCCACTCGGATCCACCATGTCCGCCTTCTTGCCACACTGCCCACGCTGCCACTGCTAGAGACTACGAAGGCATGGCACTATCGTAACTTTTTTTTGGACCACGACTGGGTGCCTCATTGGTGTCGTCAAGCTAATGACGTTAAACGAGCGCTTCTTGGGAGGCATGTAACACCCCGCCTAAACTTACTAAAATCAGAGTAAATTTTTCGTGCTATAATTGGAAAGCACTTATTTAATTTTCAAAAACTCATATTAATTTTTCGAAATTACTTTAACTTTAAAACACGGGGTGCTACTCAACTTTATCTTATATCTTTAATCTCTTTAATCTAACATGCATGCGACCAAGTAAAATCCATTCTAGAATTAAGGCCATGAATAATACCGGATTAATCATGCATATTCTGAAAATCTGACATAATCTGAAATCTGAAATACTAGACTGAAATCTGACATCTGAAACCCAGGTCTAATATGCGGAAGCAGAAATAGTTCGGAAAGCACACACAAAACATAAGACAGACATAGATAATTCAACACGTTCAAATACTATATGACATGTTTTCACAAAAATGTCCTGAAGCTGGACCAACACCACAAACTGCTCACGCTCCACGCGGGACTCCATCACCTGAAAAATAGGGTAGTGGGGAGGCGTGAGCACAAAGGAATCAGCGGTGCTCCGCCAGAACCGGCACTGAATACTCAGCACAATTAATATAAACTATGGAATCAACATATATATGAATAAACTGGTCTGACTATGGGACTAACGGTAAACTGGTACTCATGTGCACACTCTGGGGGTCCCCTCCCACAGAAATCCAGGAAAGGCACTAATCACCCCATCTGGACGGTAGACTTAGGACGGGCCCTAATCACAAACATCCAAGTCATAACTGAAATACTGAAATATTGACCAAGACGGGATCACTCATCCGTCTCATTCCTTCAATTTAATCGCATATAGATATCAGGCATGGTAAATTATTAAAAGCGATGAAATACACAGTACGTGGTCCCCACCTGGAAACTGGCGAAAGCGAATGCTGAATATATCTGAAATGGGTAGCTGATGGAGGCTCGACTCTCCTCAAGCTACAAAATATATTGAGCGAAATATTCTAAGTACTAGGCTCAGAATAAAACTCAAATCTTTAATATCTTATATATCTAGGTTCGCTCACTCGGCTTTAAAAATCATTTTGGGATTTACGAGCTGATTTTGAAAATATTATCGTCGTTGAGGCATTCTAGAGTTCTCTGAAATATTTATATGTCTGGGACTAGAATCTGACTTAATCTAATCTGACTGAAATCTAAACTATATCTGAATCTTAAATCTATCTGAAATTCTTAACTT